AAGGACCCCTTTTCTATTGTTACAGGTATTTTTATAGGCAGGAGAAGGTATGTGGAAGTTTAACGGGTAACTTTGTTCATAAGGGGAAGAGCAGCAGCTCTTGTGATACAGGTGCATGGGTTGTCTTTCTAGTTTTTTTAGGTCCACATTCCGCTTGTTCAGTTCCTGGAGGTTTGCATAATTAAGTCTGTCTTGGTGCAGTTTATTGCAAGGGCGTTTACCTGGCCATAGTACAGAAGTGAAAGGACAAAAGGTTAAATTTTTTACAGAACAGGAAAAATAAGCCAGTTTAAATTTATTTTTACAGTGGCAATACCAATTTTGAGCCAACCATGAGCATACTGTATTCAGTTGCAATGTTACAAGCCACAAGTGAAAATGAACCCTGATGTCTGTAAAGAGCTTAAGTAACTCTCCAAGTAGATAACTCATTTCTAACCAGCATTGGTATTAGAAAGAAAACCAGCAAGCCACAAACTGTTGGAAAACAGCTGCAGCTGCCCCAGATTTTAACTCTACAGACACACAAAAAGTGGAGAAGTGGCTTTTACAGATGAAGGGTCTCAGAAGACTTCTGTCAACAGACATCTTAGGAGAAAGACTGAAATGAAAGTAAGCACCTTTGTTAGTGGAAATGGAAACAAAAACTTAGGTCAATAATCTGAGCATTTCTTCCTATGTGTGTTTGATTGGACCCAAGGTAAGCCACAACAAAGCATGGAAAGTATAGACCAGAAAAGACAGATCAGCTTAAGGGTTAGGAGGATGTCAGAAGTCTGTGAACACAATATCAATTAAATACTTTCTCTTCCTTCAAAAATAAAATCAATCATGCAGGAATTCTTAAATTTCCAGGGAGTAATAGGATAAAATAATTATTATCCTAAAGTGCTAGTAAACCAATTCCATTTAACAACTTTGAATATTCTGGACCTTCTCATGTCTTCCATAAGAATCTGTTATAATGGGTACAATTTATATATTCATCACAACGACTGATTCAAAGATGATTTGATCAAATTGGCTGATCAATTCTCTACAGGATATTTCTTTTCCTGAAGATCTTTTTGTGCCAATGTCTGAAAAGAAAACAAAGTAATTACTCATAAGATAAACTGAATTCTTTAAATGTTTAATGTTTTGCTATAGGGTGCATATGCTCACCAGAGAAACAGAGATAAAGAGACAGAAAGAGGAAAATCACCCCCCCAGGAGGGAATGGCCACACCACAATCCCTTCTCCTCCATTCTCTTCTTGGGATTTTGGGCACACACGCACACATGCCTGGAGTGAGTTTTAAGCCACCGGATCCTGGACTCAAACTGCAGTTAACTATGTAGGAGTCCAGTGACATAGCTGTTATTACACCATCTACCAGTCCCCCTTTATTTTTAAAAAAATTTTTTCAAGCCAAAGGAATGTGTATGGATCAGAAAGAGGGTGAGAAAAAGCACCCTCCAATGGGGCCTGGTCATACTGCTATCCTTTTGCCTTTTCTCCTCATTTTCTGTGTCCCATCATAATCCTGGGCATACATGTATGTACAACACACACAACATGTTTTTCAAGCTGCTAGGGCTGGAATTTGAACCGTGGTTGGCCATGTGGGACCTACTATCGTATGCACAGTACTTAACCACTGTGGTGTGGGGCTGGCCCAAAAAAAGTCTTAACAAAGCAATTGATAAAATTTTCCTAAATTGAGCACAACTATAACTCTAGGAATTTCTGAATTATATTTTTGAAAACTTGTATAGAAAACATAAATCTGAACAGAACCTACTGAAACTTTTCTGAATGAGAAAATGTTTATAGAAAATAAATATGAAACAAAATGTGATGTATCAAATTAAAACTATATTTTAACATATTGTACTTTAAGGATATGTATTGTCTCCTATTAAAATGAAGCACAGCAAACATTGTTCTTTATATCAACAACTAAAGTACAAGGTTAAAGCAATTTAAAGTGCTCCCACACAATCTGAAAATGAGTTTCCCATAATTGATTCCAAAGTTTTCAGATTGTAGAAATCTGTAATGAGAAAGTTTTAGGATCAAATATAATAAAAGTATAATTTATGCCTATCAAGAGAAAAGCTTTTAAGTACTATAATAGTTAAAATCTTTCAGTGCATTAATACTCCAATAACAGTTTCAGTCAAGGAAATGTAAGGTCAGATTTAATTTTTTTTCCAACTTAGTTTGCAATTGTACATATTCATCTGAATATAATTTCCTTTCTGTAGTACCTAACTCTGAAGAAATTCAAAAGATTTTTCAGATTTATATACTAACCTTAGTCTTATTCATTGCTGGTATGTGTGTGTGTGTGTGTGTGTGTGTGTGTGTTTTGTTGTTTGTTTGTTTGTTTTTATTCAAGGTCAAAGCACTAGTTCACTGATATAATGATATATCTACCAGACTGATTATTCTTACCAGGAGGTCAAATAATGTTGAACAGAAGTTAATCTATGATGGCTTACCAACTCCAAAAATTCTATTTCTGTTTGGAGAGCTTCATATACGCTTTCCATGTCATCTTCCTTATAAAGTTCTAATTCTCTTTTAAGTCTGTTTTTAAAGAAAAATTCATCCTATTAGTTCAACAATAAACTTTTATAGTAATTTTTTTTTATTAGAGAGTGGCAGGTTTGTAGTTTCTATAATCGAAATTTCAAGTTGAAACTAAAGAGTTTAGAAATTTAAATTTTCTAATAATTCTATAAAGACTACATAAAATTTTGAGGAAAACTACTCCCATAAAGAAAATAAAGTAAGGTCAGCAGGTAGAGTGGTGGTTAAGGCACCAAACTCTCACTTGGCCAGTCATGATTCGAGTCCTAGACCTGTAGGCTTGCTTTTTCACTTTCCCTCTTTCTCTTTCTGTCTCTCTCTGATGAGTGCAAGAGCCCTATAGCAAATTACAAAAAAAAAAGTTAATAAAATTAAATAAATTATTCTAAAAAAATAAAATAAGGTAGAATGAATAAATAATCTAGACATTTAATTAAGAGTGCAACATGGTTTAGTGGAAAAAATATATAGTACTATTTCTAAAGATCTCTGAATTAGTTCTAGGCACTAATAACTTAAAAAATCTTGGTTTAAATCACTTAACCTCTTTGAACTTCTCCTGAAATTTTTAAGTATAGAAAAGACAAAAAAAGAAGGACCTCTGAGATTTCTGCTTGGTTTAACATGAAATAACTTTAAAATACATGAAAATAATTAAAATATAATTAAAACACAATTAAATTACATCAAAATCATTTTGCACACTAGTCAGACCTTTTTGTAGGCAAAGTGCTCTTTTGATGACAAATAAATTAACAAATACACATTACTGTGAACTATTTCAGACAATACAAAAAGTGGTTTTGATTTGTTTTTCTCTTGTAAACAAAAGCTTATCATTTACAATCTTTTTGCACACTTGTGTGCAAAAGGTTTATAATCTTTTATGAAATTGTAGTTTGTCATTAATATGTAAGTCATTGTTATAAATATCACTTTTATTTTGGGTACACATAAAATTGCAACTGAAATTTATTTTGTCAATGTTTTTTGAATGAACTGAATAAAGATTTTTTTTAAAGAAACATAAAAATCATTTTAAATTCAAGAGAAAGCAACATCAATCTTTTTTTCCTCAATTAAATCCTTAATCCTTTGGATCATTTGACTCCTTTAAATTTCTTTTAAAAAATTATTTTATACCTAAATTTAATGTGAAAGTTATCCACTTCTAACGTTATAACTAACATTTTTTCCAAAAAGAAAAACATAAGCAAAAACTACAGTCAGTGGCTGGAAGGGTAGAGAACTAGGGTTTGAAACTGGACAGCCAGGAGACTGAAGCTGCCCTGAGGGCTGATAGGAAGAGCCAGGTAGTTTTCTGTAAACCTAAGCAACACTTGGGTCAGCAACCAGGTGAAAACTATCATTTTGAACCTTTGCTGAGGCCCAGTCTCAAGCTGAAGGGGCCCTAGGACAGCTGTATTCCCCAGAAATCAGCAGAAGCAAAGAAAATCCTCTGAAGGAAACCTTGACATATTGATATTTACACCCACAGGCCTGCCACAGATTAAAAAAGAAACAAAGGGCTTACAACCAAAAATTAAGAAACACCCAACAAGGCAAGTTACTATCAGTAAAAGTCAGCAGAGACAAATAACAACAGATTATATCCATAATAGATGATGAACTACAAGTCAATGAGGAAAAAAGATAACATAGTAGAAAATAGGCACAAAACAATGAAAACTTGAACCGTTAACAGATTATTCACAAAAGAGGATACCAAATGACTAAAAATATTATAAAATAGTACTCGACTTCAATGGTGATCAGGGAAATACAAAGGAAAGCAAATGAAATACCACTAAACATCCACTGGAATAGCTAAAATGAATGAAAGGCAATATCAAATATCGATGAGGATATGAAGAAAGTAGAACTTTAAACACTATTACAGAGAATATTTCTTCCCACTCTCTTACTTTTAATCTATCTATGCTTTTATATTTAAAGTGGGTTTCTTATAGAAACCTAATCTATCTATGCCTTTATATTTAAAGTGGGTTTCTTCAAGAAACTATATAGTTGTTTCTTACACTTTCATCTAACATGATAATCTTTTAGTTGATGTGCTTACCCCATTTAAAGGTAGTCCAGTTATTTATGTGGCTAGATTATAAACATTTTTCTAGTTGTTTTCTATTTGTTCTATCAGTTATTTCCTCTTTTTTTTTTTGCTTTCTTTGTATTTTTGGATTATTTTTAACCACTGATTTTTTTTTTTTTTGGGAGGGTTTTGTTCATC